TTATAACCTTTTTACTCCACAACACCAGTCAAATGCTTCCTTTTGTGATCTGATGAGGCTTCTTGTAAATTATAAATTACCCTATAAATTAGGGTGACCCATACGTCCTCTTTTGGACCTACAAAAATGCGTCCGGCCGGGATTTCTTAATTTCCCAAAATGTCTGGGATTCGGCTGTTTTCTTCATCTCGCTCCCCCTGAATCTCTGACCATTGCCGCCTGCTCCCGCAACATGTGTTTCGCTCCCGCGATTTTCGTGTCCACTCCTTTAAACATTCTAATATTGTATATAATTTTGCCGCTCTCAGGATGCGGTGTATTCTTATTCTCGACCTGTGATCAGTCAAATCTGACTCCTGCAGCTCTTGTTGGATGCAGGGTTGCCAAGTCCGCGTTTTTTCCACAGAATTGTGCTACTTTTAAACTGTTGCCATGGGTTGATTTTCCCAAGTGGGTTAAAGGTTTGAAATATTGCATAAATTACATTTGAGTGAAATGCTTGTATTGAAACATTTTGCATTCTATGATAAAACTTTTATGGACTTTTACATTAACTGTTCCCTCCTGGTGGAATGACCTGCCCAACTCAATCCAAGCAGCTGAGTCCTTAATATTTTCAAGAAACGGCTGAAAACACATCTCTTTCATCTTCATTTGACCCTCTAACTCTAGCACTCTCTATTCTAATGCTACTTCTAATTTTATCTGCTTGTTTTTTTTAATTAAAAAAACTTGACCCTCATTTGCACTCTATTCTATTTCTATTCTAATGGCCAATCCATCAGTTTTTGGGGGGATTTTTTTATTTATTTTTTAGTAAGTATTTCAGGCACCTTTTAGGCACTGGTACCATTTTAAAAGTATCGATTTGGCACCGGTATCGAAAAAAAAACAAACGATACCAAACCCTAAATGTAGCTTTTCATCATGATTATTTAAAAAATAAGTTGAAATGTGAACAGTTCAGTCTTTAAAGGTTAAGTAAAAAATTAATTTCCCTGTGGGAAAAAAATAAATGATGTTTTACTTACAGAACCTGACTGTTGCACTAACTAGTCACGTAAGTCAACAAATGTCCAGTTAACACCACAGATGTAATTAAGTTCTCAGGCATTTAAAAAAAAATCTTATCCATTTTTGAAGCCTTCCTGAAGAAGCAATCAAACGTTTTACATTCCTGTATTTGCCATCTTTTCGTCAGTTCTCATTTGTCCCAAAAGCCTGCAGTATACATATGTACAACACAGATTTTGTTTTCTGCATGTAGACATCACATGCCATTTAGTCTAATTTCATCAAAAGTTCTGCTAATTTCAGCTCAGTCTGGCTGACTGGATATAAATCTAATGTTCATACATTTGTAAGGGAAACAGGTCAATTTAGCTCAAAGGGAATAATTTATGATTTTATAGGGAATTTGGACAATCACTGTTTTACGGCTGATCACTGAGTCGGCCAGGGATTCATTGAACGAGCCATATAACATCAATTCTGCAATGGATATTAATATCCAAAGTATAGTGAAAACACTATTAATTAGCACAGTAACAAGATCGGCAGTTTAAGACATTAACTTGTAAGCACAAAACACAAGATACTTCTCGTTTCAATATCAATAAGACTTTATTGGATAAATCTAAGACATATAAACTAGTCTAACACAAACACACGCACTCACACACGTTGCAGGAAGAGAGAAAGTGAGGAAAGAATGAGTTTGAGAGAATGAAAATGTGAAATCCCACACTGTAAAAAATTTTCACCCCTTTCAACTTAAAAACGTAAGTTTTGTGGCTGCCTTAAAATTTTAAGTTAAATCAACTTAAAAGTACAAGTAATTTCAGCTCACTAATTTAAATCTTGCCTAGTGCTGAATTGTTTTAAGTTCATTTGACTTTACAATATTTGCTGTTTCAACTTAAGTTCAAAATTTTCTAGTTAGGATAATGTAAACTTTATTTTGGATCCAGATAAAAAAAATAAAAATACTACAACATTTGTTTGAAACATTTAAAAAAAAATGTTTTCTTGCAGTGCTTATAAACAGGGTTTTATTTGATACAGAAATGCAAAACTCCCCCTTCATCCAGTCTCAGACTCACAAGCGTGTGCCTGTAAAAAAAAAAAAGTATTCAACTTAAATTTACTTGTAAACAACAAACACACAAGCAAAGACATTTCCTATACAACAACCTCATAAACGGGAAATTGTTGGTTACTTGCTAATTACAGTTAAGCCCAAAGATGTAACGTAGACTAACCATGTTCCGTACACTTTTCACTATTCGCCACACGCCAGCGACCACTCCTCCGTTATTGAAAGACAAACAAGCATGTTTGTGTGATCATTCTCTGGGGGAATACCCATTCTACAGTCCACACTTTGATTGATGTCTTTAGGACCAATAGTTTTTGAGAAAAGTGGGGAAAAGTACCGCCTCTGCCAGTGTACGGAAGATGATAAGGGTTAACGGTGTTCCGTACAGACTTATAATGGTGTTCCGTACAGCGCGCATAACTTGATTTTATCGGCGAAAATGGACATTTAACTGATCAACTGTGAGCTGTTTATTTATTTTAACTGAATAAAAACATTATTTAAATGAATAAGAAAGATGAGTACCTTTTTAATTTTATTAAAATGTAAGTTAATTGCTGCTTTAATAAAGGACCATGCGAGTTAGGCATGATTGTGTCATGATATTAATTATGGCATGTGAGTTAAGCATGAACCATGTGAAACGTTAGTGAATAACATTTCCATATCTTTCTGAAGACAATATGAATATAAACATCATCACTGCATGCAGGATGATGGGCAAACAGCGTCTGTGCTGACAGATGTGCTGCCTGTCTCAGGTGAGAGTGGCGCTAAGTGGTCATCGCCCTCAATCGAAGTTTAAAAATTCCCATTTCAAAGCATTTATTCAACAAAAGGTAATATATTTAACAATTTGTGATAACATAATATTAATTTCATGAAGGCTGAGTACTGTGAGAAACATAAATTAAATAGAAATGTAAATTTTCGCTGCTCTTGTAGTCTCCCCACCCAAGCTGCAGTATTGAAGTGTAGCTTGCCCACCGTCCGTTTTCAAGCGCAGTGGGCGCACCTAGCAAACTTACTGAAATCACACTGAAACAAATGGCGGGTGGGTCTCTGTCTTGGTCGGTTGAAGCAGCCATGTCAGGGAGATGCTGTGTGTTTCTAGGCGAAAGCAAAAGCACTTTATTCGGCCTTCCAGAAGTAGATTCATTTAGGAATCTTTAAGGTTACTTACAATAGAACAGCAATGCATTTTATGGACGACTGTTTCATGATCCTAGGAGAAGAAGTCGTTGAAATGTTGGCTTATCTTAATAAGATATGGTTTATATTCTTTATTTAGTACATAAATGCAAAACTTACCATTCATCAAGTCTCAGACTCACAGTCAACTGTTTGCCTATAAAAAGAGAAAAACATATGTTGGGGGGAAACTTTAAAGTGGTTCAAATATTGACTTATCTTAAGATATAGTTTATACTCTTTATTTGGTACAGAAATGCAAAACTCACCCTTCATCCAGTCTCAGACTCACAAGCGTGTGCCTGTAAAAAAAAAATAATAATTATTCAACTTAAATTTACTTGTAAACAACACACACACAAGCAAAGACATTTCCTATACAAGAACCTCATAACCCTTTAATAACCTGAGTTGCCTAAAAACAATTATCAAGATGGATGGTGATCCTCAGTGTAATGTGCTCAGTCATAGCCTACAAAGGGAGGTAAACGGGGAATTGTTGGTTACTTGCTAATTACAGTTTAGCCCAAAGATGTAAGTTACACAACACTTTTACAGACTTTTTGTTCATGATTAAAATATGACCGATTCATACAACATAATGCATTTGTTTGCATTTACTGTTACCAGTAAGCAATTTGCAATCGTAAAACAAAGTTATATATAAAATATATGATGATGGCCAATAAAATAACAAATGGCACAGAAAACGAGCTTGTGAGGAACAGATGTAACGTTAGGCCTACAGTGCGTCCAACTGAATGTAACGTTTAACATGTCGGTTGTTCGGCTGACAAAAACGTCTTTCTAAAAAAGTAACGTTAGTCACAAATGAACAAGGTTAACAATAGTTTGAATCGTGGTCTCTTAAATCATATTAAGAAGTTTCATATGTTCTTCTAGTTTGAACAGAACAAACTGACAAAACTGGTGACAATTAGTTCATGCGTCGTAGAAAACAGCTCGTCGTCTACCTCAAGTTAACTTATATTATCCTAGCTTGAACGGTTGATAAAAAAAAAAATCAAATAATAATAATTAAAAAAAAACCGCTTAACTTTATTCCAAACTTGAAAGGTAAACACAGTTCGGAAAACAATGACAGAACATAACTAATTCTGCTCTATTGTGCTAAAATGAACAATAATCTCCCAAAAATTGTGTTATACAAGCGTTCACTCACCTCATCCACGTTCTTCTTCTTCTTCTTCTTGTTTTATGGCGGGTGGCATCCAAAATATTTTTTTTTTCTTGGAAAGGACTCTGATATTAAATTCATGAATAAATTTGACTCCTGCGCATGAATCCATGTTCAGAGATTTGGCCGGTTAGTGCCAAAAAGCTAAATTGGGCTCTTTGAATTTCAGTAACATTAAACTGACTTAAAAAATCAAGTTGAATCTAGTATAACTTATAAAAAAAAGTTGAAATTGCTTAAATTATTTTTATGAGTTAAAGTAACTTAAAAACATAAGTTGTCATGGCTTTTTCATCATATCATTTGCAAGTTTACAGCAATGTGTGCAATTGCATAGACCTGAACAACCATCAATCACTTAATTAACCCTTGAATCGAGTTTCTCAATGAGGGTAAAATTTATATTAAATGCACCAGTTCAGCTAGAATCCGGAGGTACTTGCTTTGCCTGTGTAGGGGGGTTCCCTTTGTTGTCATTGCAGAAAAGGGGGTTTCCCGAGGTTGCTGATTGGCTGGAAGTTCAGTAGCCGTTGAAGTGAGGACTTGGGAAGCCTGTGGTTGGGAGTTGGCTGAAGATGCGGAGTTGTGGGCTGGTTGAAGTTTTGAGGCGGTCACAGACCCGGGTTGAACTCGGAGACAAAACTTAACTCAGAACACGAAACTCTCACCGGAAAAGAAAATAAATTAAAGTAGAGGAACGAACGTAACGCGACTAGATGGGTTTTCTCCTCATGGTTTTAGAGGAGCAAATGGCGTGTAAGCCAGAGCATACTCAAAGAGCGCTAAAAAGCAGCATCACGGTGGCTAAAACTATGACTAAAAAGCTAGAAGCATAATTTGATGGTGTCTTGAGTATTTAAACTGGGCTGTTGGACACATCCCAAATGGTGACTTGACAAATTAGATATTGTCTTTGCTCGGGGTGTTGTATGTTTCTCCTCCCAATACATAAATCAACATGTCATCTCATCAGTCACATGGTCCGAATGTTCCCGCTCTTGCAGAGTATAATTTTGACATGATTTCTTATAACAAGAATATGATACATTGACGAAGAAT